CTCGCTGGACAGCATATCCACAACTTATCAAAACGCTTGGAGCGTTGGGCTGAGCACTTTAAAAGGCAATTTAGTCTGTCGGAACTGTTCGATTGTTCGCCGACCAGTGATCGCCATGCTCCGTGGGCTGTGCCTTCGGATCCACCCTCTTGCTCAGAAGTCGAACGTGAGATCGGATTGTTGAAGTTGAACTAAGCCGCGGGACCAGATGATCTCCTTTAGCCCCCTTCAAATTCGGAGGCTCTGCACTTGTTGATGCTTTACATGAATTCCTAGTGAAACTGTGGGAGCAGGAGACTGTCCCAACCGACTGGAGCCGCTCCGTTATTGTTCCCATCTTCAAAGGAGGCTCGCGTTCGGAATGCGGCAACCATAGAGGAATCAGTCTGATCTCCATCGCCTCCATAATCCTTCACAGACTGACTGGCGCTCGTGAAAGCTATATTCCTGAAGAGCAAGCCGGGTTTCGTCGGGGTCGTGGCTGCATCGACCACATCTTCACCTTGCGTCAGTTGTTGGAGCACCGTCATATATATTGGCGGTCCACTGCAGTCGTGTTCCTCGACACCAAAGGTGCCTTCGATTCGGTTGATCGATGTGCCCTTTGGAATTGTCTACTCAGGAAAGGTGTGCCCGAGAAATATGCAAATATTATCCAAGCATTAAATTTGCGTAGCACGGGCAGAGTGAGGGCTTACGGCAAGCTGTCGCCACCCTTCAGTATCTCCAGCGGAGTGAGACAAGGATGCCCGCTGTCACCTTTCCTCCTCAACATCGCTATGGACGAAGTCATGGAGTTTGCATTTACAGGACATGACTTGGAAGGTGTGGAGCTACTCCCAGGAGAACGACTTCTTGACTTGGAGTATGCAGACGACATTGCCCTTATATGTGACAGCTCCCAGGCGTGCCAAGCCGCGCTGGACAGATTAGCACTGGCTGTCAGCACTTCGTGCTTTGCTTTGCACCATCGAAATGCAAAGTGTTCCTCCAAGATTGGCAGGGATCGCCTCCTGCGCTGACGCTTGGTGGGGATCAGCTAGAAGTCGTTCAGAAATTCCATTACCTGGGAAGTTGTATCAGCGCCCTTGGGATCGAAGACGAGATCACGAACAGTAAAGCAAAAGCTCGAAGTGCTTTCGCTAAGCTTCGCCACTTATGGCGGCGGCGCGAGATTACTCTCGCCCTGAAGGGTAGAGTATACAATGAAACGGTACGTTCGACCTTACTGTACGGTTGCGAAACCTAGGCCCCTAAGATCGGCGGACATGAAGAGGCTAGTTACGTTCGACCCATCGGTGCCTTCGCAGTTTGGCTCACATATGGTGGGAACACCGCGTGAGTAACGAGCGTGTTCGATGCCTTGTTTACGGCACAGGAAAAGGAACTGAACCGCTCAGCACCGTCATTTCACGCACCACGCTACGACGGCTGGGCCATGTGTTGCGCGTGCCAGCCTGTCAACTTCCACGAGGGGCGTTGTTTGCTCACCGGGGATGTGGGTGGAAGAAGAGGAGGGGTGGCCAAGTGATGACTTGGTCAAGAGGAATGAAGGCCCTCATTTCTGTGCTGGCCTCGGTTAGAGCGTCACGGCTCCCGGGTTGGGGTCCGAAAGACGGTGAACACGTTTGGTTGGATACACTTGCTGACATGGCAAGGAGCCGACCTCAGTGGCGTTTGTGCTGTGAGTTTCTTTGTCCCTCCCCATCCCTTTTAGCCTCTCCCTCCACCTACGATCTCATTTCGTAGCGTAAAACATAGTAATTTTTCTTTTTGCCTAGTAGCCGGCTGGTAGCTTACCGGAACGATGCCTATCCGTTGCTGGTAGCTCAGCTGGCATGCAAATTTTGTATTTATTTTCATTTTTCATTTATGTATAGCGGCACAGTAGCTGAGGTGTTTCCCACCTCTAGCTGACGTGTATAATGATGATGGTGAGCGTTCGTCTCTATGCTGTCAGGGGACTGTTCGATTTTAATTCCGAGAGATGTAACATGCAGTCTTTTGATCATTACGTTTAAGATCATGGGTGGATGCTAGCTGCCGGAAGTCTCACGTGGGAAGGAAACAGTGCTGGCTTCAAAGGCTGGCTTGCTCGCCGAAAACCTCCACGTGGTTCTCGCAAATATCGTTCCAGCGACTAGTTCGGCGACATTGTTCCAGGATGTAGTGGGTTCCCGCCTGACAAGCGTTTTCAATATACAAAGCCGCAAATGTCTGTTTAACAACACTGTAAGGTGTCGGATATGACTCGCCACTAAATAAAGTCACTGCTCCTTGCCCTGTACAAATGTTTGTACACACTCCGCGGACGTCAGTCATTCACCTCGAAGATTTCCATTGATCCCTTCTTACGCTGACGGCCTGATCATAATCACAAGTACGGCAGCACCTAGAAATCCAAGAATTCCCCTTGCTACGTACATATACCCTCATGCATACATATATTCATGTAAACGTGTAACCTTTCCGTATATTTACAAATAATTCGTGTAGTTTCACAATGATCATGAATATGCAGGCGTGCATAGTATTGTTCAGAATGTCATTTGTTTATCTATAAAAGTGATACACCATCAAGGAACCGAGAGAAGAGCAACTGAATTCACTTTACGAGAGAGAGAGAGAGAGAGAGAGTATGGAACTCAGGAACTGACACACCGCGCATGACTTGGAAGCTAAGGTCAACATAATTTTGACAGTGGTTTAACAGGACAGCACTGGATGTGTGCATGTAAGGTGGTAAGACCATTGGGATGGGAGGCGCGAAGACAAACTGCAACAACCTAGTACGACAAATTTGTGATAGGCATGTGAGCAGCCCGGCTGATATATGGGAGAAAACAGTCAGTGAGGCATATGAACACCAAGGAAAGCGGGAGACTCACATCTTCGGATCCTTCAGCGACGGAATCTAATGACTCAAACAACTTCCTCCGATTTTCCAAATCAGAACTCTCTCGCTTGAGATGAGTAGTATCGATCGTATCAGTAACGGGCTCGGGGTCTGGTTCCACGGTAGTGTCACCAAGACGAAAAAGCTAAAAGGAGAACGTAAGAGAGTCGGATGGTCTATGTGAACACAATATGGCCAAATGTAGCATAGAGCAGCGAGGCTACTCAGATGCAAACAAACTGGTCGCACTGGTTGAGAAACCTTATCATTCCAAATGGTTCAAGTGCCAATCTCAGTAAGCTTGGTGTTATGGTCACCAAAGTCGCGCCGGTTCGCTCTGATTGGCCGATCAAGAAGGCAAGGCTGGAGGTACCAGTTTAATGGCCACCAGTTATGAGACAATTACATGGCGCAGACTACCAATATTTACGTGTTCTTAGTGACCTTGAATGTTCTCTACACTGTTCTATTCTTCGCTTACTAATAATAGTGTTATATTATCCGAGAACGCTCTTTTGATCAGTCAACGCGATTGTTCTACTCGTTTAATGGAAAAGAGTGAACTTCGGTCCCTGTATGGTCCACTGATCCATTTATTAGGTGCTTCTCTTAACAAGGCGAAAAAGGACAATACTTTGACAGGATAATTTTAATTCAACTATTTCGCATATTGTCACTAGGCGTTGGCATACAATTAGTGGAATGGCTAGGCTGCATATAGATACAATCAAGGCGTAACGTGCGGTGAATCGAAAGCGATCAAATTATTCCTAACGCTGGCCGGCACTCCGTCAAAGCAAGGCCAGACTGGCGGTAAACTCGGTCTGCTTATACAGAGTGGGCTTCCGCTGTCTGGTTGCCAAAACATCAGTAACCTGAAGCATTGGGCGACGTTCTGTCGGTTAATCATTCGAAATGATTCACGAGGGTTTTCACATAAAGGTTAGAATTATCAGTGACAGTAAGGAACTCGGTATGCATTTCAGCCGAAGGATGGATACCATTTTGGTCCCTGAGTACTACACACTTTGGCGGAGCCTAAGGAGCTGTATATGGTCTCTGTGTGGGAGACTTGCGAGCGCCCACTCAAGCGAACATAGCCTATGTGAGCAGTTGTGGTGCTCGATCCACATCAGGCCCGGAGAACTACTCGTGGGTGCATTTTATCGCAGCCCTCTGAGCCGCTGTTTGGATCGGCTGCCGCATCTCCGGGACCACATGAGCCGCCTCCGTTTTCTACTCATAGGTGATTTCAACAATCCTCGAATACGCTATCTGAAGTTCAACTTATCACCTGATATTGTGAAGTCGAAGCAAAGTTCGCTGAAATGGTAGTTGAGACTGGGGCAGCGCATAACACCGCGTTCAACTCCATGGTGTTTAGACTTGATATGAACAAACTGTGGACAACACATGTATAACATTCGTATCCTGCAGCCTCCCGGAAGTGACTACTGACTACTGGTTGGTTCGACTGAGCAGTTCCCCACGGGGCGCGTCCCCAGGTTGCGAATCGGGGAATGCCTTCCTTGAGAAGGCAACTGTGAACAAGTCTCGGCTGTTCGCAGGTGAGATGAATAAGCAGTCGCGGACAATCAGCGGCAGCGTTCTAGAGCGTACGGGTTCTGAGGTGGTCACCTGATTCCTCATTAAATACTACAAGAGCTCGTAAGACGCTGTGTCGAAGCCAATGTGACCGGCTATATGGTCACTGACCACTTACTTCTCATTGCAGAAGTGAGTACTCATCGGACGGCAGGTGAACTAGTTCGAAGGCCACCGGGTTCTGCGAAGGCGTATGAGCTACCTAGTGGTCAACAGTTTTCGTGCTCTTCTGCGAGTTCGATGGTCCACCAAATTTCTTTCTGCCTCCGTGTTGCTTCATTCGGGCTTCTTGGGCGTTCTGAGTAGTTTGTTCCAACTTGAAACCAATGTTATCCTCATCAGGGTAACCGGCTCCCGAAGGTATGCGATATACGTCAATTGCCCCGCTGTCTTGCTGGTCAGGTTTTTAATACCGAAGGCTCCGGGTGGGGTCTCCTAAGTCAATCAGATTTCTCGGCCTGGGAAACCAGGAAGCTACATGCCCACACAATATATAGACCAATGCTTCAACTACTTTCTAATCGCTCTCTGCTCTTTGCCAATGCTACACTCAACCGAGGTGCTGGTGATCAAACACGCTACATAGCACTCCACCGCACCACAGCCCAGTTGCTTTATTACACGTCTGTTCAACTTCCCCATCGGCAATTCCTCTCCGTTTACGAGTCTACAAGACCGTACCGCCTTGAGCGAGTGTTCTTGTCATACGGATCAAGAATTTAGGTCTGAGGATGCGCTGCCAAGTAGTACTGACAAGCCTTTTCTAGCGCTCAGTTCCTAATGCAAGCTGACAACGTTTAACATCCGGACGCTGATGCAGATGGAATCACAAGAAGCCTTTGCTCGCAAGCTTGTGAGTACTGCCATGTATGTCTGCCGCCTCACTGAAACCTTAGCACGACGCTAAAATTGGCTTCACCGTCTGGCAGTTTCACATTGCGCCTTTCCCAAGACGTAACCGCCGAAGTCGCTGTTCTTACCGGCGTGGGGATTACGTTGAGCACACATGCTGAGGCCGCGCTACTAGACTGGATCTCTGTCAACCGTGGACACTGCGCGATCCCACTTGAGACCCCAGTGCGACTTTCCAGTCGCGGAACCAACAGACGCTGCTTGTTTGTTGTAGCAGTGTACGCTCCCGCAGACTGCAGTCCGGAGTCTGTTAAAGACGAGTTTTACTGTTAACTGTCCGACCTTTTCAGAAAAAGCGCCGTATAGACATTGTGGCACTTGCAGGAGACTTAAATGTGCGGGTCGGTTGACTTGAGGTTGAAGAGCCTGAACTTTGTGGTCAACATGGACATAGCACTTACAGAACAGACAACGGCGATCGCTTACTTCGGCTTTGCGCCCAGCACGACCACTTTCTGTCGAGTACCAGCTTTTGGCTATCTTGCCGCTAACGCGCCACCTGGAGGCCTCCGTCTCCTGGCCAGCCACGGACGCAGATTTATCAGTGATTGCTGGCGATGCTGCATACAGGATTACAAGTCAATCTGGGGCACTTACCTCATTTCGGATCACGCGCCCGTGTGTGCTAAGATCGCTTTGCGTTTTTGTGGCTCCCAACTGCGTCGCAGAAATGGCTTGACGTGGCTAAGCTTTCTGCCTCAAGCGTTCTCAGCGCGTTTCAGGACGCATTGGCCTCAAATCTCAAAAGCGCCTCATCTGGCGTTGAAACGCATTGGGCACACATCTGCAATCCTGGTCCGTGGTTTTATCAGTCGTCCTGTCAACCACTGGATCTCTGCACGATCTCGTCAACTTTTCGAAGCTCGTCGGGCAATTCCACCAAGTGTTGAGTATCATTCACTATGCGGTACCACTAACGCTGAACTCAAACAGCTCCTCCGGGCGGATCGCGAGGCCTTGTGGACGCAACGGGTCATTGATATGGAGCAGGCAGCCAGCTCGGAGAATTTCCGAAAGCTTTTCCACCTGATCCGATCCACTAGTGGCAGACGGCCGACTATAAGCGAAATTTTATGCAAAACCAATGGCAAGAGAATTTACTGCCAACAACGTAGACTTGTGTATTGGGCTCAGTACTTTGAGCAGCAGTTCAAGTGGCCGGCAGCACCGCAGTGCTCCGTGGTGTGCAGACGATTCAGCACCATCTAAGGCTGAGGTTGCTCATGACCTTCGCCTCCTAAAGCGCTACAAAGCCCGTGACCCAGACAAAGTCCCTTAGCTCTTTTCAAAGATGGAGGTCCATCACTTGTTCGGGGGTCAACTTCCATCCTTCAAGTGGTTAGGACTACCGAATCAATCCCGTCTGATTAGAGTTTAGCGGATTTCGTGCCCGACTTCAAAAAAGGTACCCGGATGGACTGCGCTAACCATTATCATCATCATTATACACATCAGCTAGAGGTGGGAAAACACCTCCGCTATTGTGCCGCAATACACGAAAGAAATACATGGTTGGCGGCATCCGGTTTCGGATTTGCCTGTCACTGTGGCCAGGCACAGGACGCCTGCGCCTACAGAGGGACCATGGTTGGCTTGCGCTGCACCACCCACACACCCCATATCCAGTGTAAACCCGAAGGAATAAGACCGGGAGGCATGCGGATGGGAATCACGTTTCATCAACGGAGCCGGCCCACACTCCTTCACAGGCAAACACAAGCACGCTGTATTTGGGGAATCAAGCGCACACAAGGTGGTGGCTGGACCGTAGTCCGCTCCACACTGAATGCATGGAACCACTCTTGGAGCCTAGCACGGCCACAAGGACCGTGCACCCTGTCCCCTCCAGCAACGACCAACTGTCTCCTGGAGCCAGTATGGACGAGGTAGTGGGTAATAGACAGGTAGGCACCTTGTCAACATGCACAACAGCCAATCACTTGAGAGAGAGAGAAAGAAAAAAAGAGAAAAACTCGATTGATGCATACGGAAACGGTGACATAAACCTTAATTTAATGAGCATATGTAATAAGTTGTTTACAAACAAATCCTAGATAAGTGCACGAGGTCAGAAAGTATAGTTCACGGAATGCCACGAACACAAATATGCTACGGAAATCGAATACAATTGGCTTAAGCGATGTGTGCAAGTTAATGGAATAGAGTACACGTAGATATTTATACGAGAAAGAAAAGCATTAAGGCAAAATTGAAAACCCACCACCTGAAATAAAGAGACTTAGCATGCAAGCACGCGGTTAGTAAATCGAATTCAGCGTGCCTACAAACGCTGCGCCGGCTCGCCGTAATTCTCTGCAGGACCCGTCGTCGCTTCTGTAGTGGTCCCGAGTGGCCTAGCTCATGGCCCACTAGACATTTATATGAGAAAGAAAGGCATTAGGACAGAACCGAAAACCCACCACCTGAAATAAAGAGACTTAGCATGCAAGCATGCGGTTAGTAAATCGAAAGCAGCGTACCTACAAACGCTGCGCCGGTGCTGTCTACGTTCACTGCAGAACCCGTCGTCGCTTCGGCAGTGGTCCCGAGTGACCTCTCTCATGGCTCACTAGGCCTGCCTGACTAAGGCACTCGCGACCGCATGTTCTACAGCACCATGCGCTCGAT